CAAAGTGCCTTCAAAAAAAAAACAAAAATTATTCACGGATAAACACATTTTTCAAGGAATAAAAGTTATTTATGGGAAAACAAAAATCAGTTATAGAATACTGTAAATAACTAACATAACTAATCTAGATTATTTGCCATTTTTAACCTTATGCCTGAAACATGAACATTATTTTTTTAAGAAAATTGGATAAAATTATAAAGTATGAAAAATTCACCTTTTACAAAAACATTTGGAAACCACGGCCATAAACATTGAATTACAAAATGTTATTCCACTTTTTCTAAAGTTTTTAACACCCAGAAGTAAACGTTGAAGACCCTATAAAAAATATAAAAATGAATGAAGTCGATTTAGCCATGTTCGTCTGTATATACGCGAACTAGTCTCTCAGTTTTTAAGATATTGATCTGAAATTTTGCACTTGTCGTTTTTCCTCCAACTAACTGGCCGATCAATATCAAGTTTTTGTATGGAAAACTTTTTTAGATTATTTTTCAATCTCGGAAGATTTTGTTCAGATCGGGACACTATACCATATAGCTGTATATGTAGCTGCTATACAAACTGACCCTTCAAATTCTAGATAAAGACCTTTTTATACCCTTTTATGCCAACAATTTTCATATAAAATTCCATAATTTGGAATATTTTTTCGCGTAATTTGATCTATATCAAATAATAAAAGCTAAATTAAATAAAAAAATAGCGAAATTGATAGTAATATTATAGGAATTTTTTTTTTAAATTTTGTGAGGATTTTTTTTTTTAATATGTGTTATTATGGTTTGTTTATGCTGAATTTTTATACACAATTTTTATTGGTAAAATATTTACAAGTTTTAAATGAAATAATTACCATAAACGTCGGCAATCATATACCATAGTATAACCTAAAATAGGTAATTTAAAAGTTTCACTACCCGTTTCTTAAAAGTTACTGTCAAAAGCGTAGTTTACAAGCATCTATTTTTTTTGATAAATAATAAGGTTTAATTTTATCAATAAAATATTTGAAAAAAATCATTATAATAATAACCATAATCATGTATATGAGAAAAAATTATTTTACAATATATAAAGTTGTGAAAAATCGTTTAATATAAAATTTTGAAAAAAAAAAATCGTTTAATATAAATTTTAAAACTATTAAAATATGCGTGAAATTGAAAAAAATCGCCTTGAAAATCAATGTTTTTATTTAATATGTTACCCAATTTACCCTTATCCATATTCAGCTATTCATATTATTAAAAATAATAGTTTGTTTATCTACTCCTCGTAAGCCCTTACTGCCTTCGCCACCTTTTCGCTAATCTCACATAGAGTTGTCTCCACAGTTCGACAAAAGTTTTGCAAAGCCCACTGGTCACACAGCCTTATATATAGGCACGTTGAATGCCTTCAAGCACTCATTCATTCAAGCTTTAGTTACAACAATTCACTCCTGCACTTCCACAAGCCTTCAAGCCGACAATGTTGTTGAATTAACCCACAATCATACATAAACACATACAAACAAAACTGTTACTGTTATCCCGTTTTCCACTTACACTCTTTCGTGCTTTTTCCCTTCCTATACACCACATCCTGCTATCAGTTGATACAGTCATGTACTGGTATGTGTGCATGTGTTATAGGTATATGCCTTTGTTAACACCAAACCTCCATTTTACACTCGAACTAACAAAAACCAAACTATCCATCATCCATCAATCCCATCTATGCATTCTCCTTCGCTTCTAATCACTTTTCTGCCGCTTGTTTGTTTTGCTATTCGCACTGCTTTTACCATGCGCCCACTCACCGCACCGCGATACCGCTCTACCGACGCAGCGCTTTTACAAATTACACCCACTTTTGATTGCTTTAAATGAAAATGCTGCTTGTTTTCAGCTCTACTCACCTCATCTAGCCGTTAACGGTGTTTTTTTTCGCTCTCCCTTTTTTCACTTTTGCGTTATTTGCTTTGTAGCATTTTCCTCATTTTCCGCCTATCTGAAGTTATTACTTTTTACTAGTTTATTTCAGTGCGTTTGGTGTCCCCCGTTTCTGCTGTAACCCCCGTGCCTTGTGTACCTTTTTCCGGCCATCGTTGAAGGGTGGTTTCTGCGTCTGCTTTAGTTTGTTATTTTGCATCACCCTACTTCGGTTAGTTGGTTATCGCTTGTGCATTTTCATCGCGCTTTTCGCTTTTGCTTTGTCGTCTAGGCAATGTTTTTCTTTCATTTATTTTGTAATTATCGTCTGCTTTGCTGTGTGCGGCCACTTGAATGTTGCCTGACTGCTTCAAAGCAAATTTCATTTTGCTGTGTAGCGCTTTTCCTTTGCTCTTTTCCGTCGGCGCCGAAGGTATGTGAAAAATTCATAGTTTTTCGTTAGGAAATTGAAGTGGTTTCTTCAATGTTTTACCTTGAGTTGCAGCGAAAGTACTTGACCGGAAAGTATCCAATTCTAAACATGAGTGTTTCGGCGATGTTCGAAAGCTAAAACCTAGTGTTTTTCTTAGACTTTGAAAGCTTAAAGTTGTGAAAGACAAAATTGTTCGAAATCATAAACGTTTCGATTTTATAGCTTCGGCTGGTGAGCGCTTCAACATTTTAGAGGTCTTATTTTGACCAAATAAACTCCACAATAAGATAACAACATTCCTGATTATATGTTGTGTGAGAAAGTGGTCAGAAATCCGGAGTTCTATACTGGCTGCTTGGTTAAATATATCACACATATAGTCATCTCTGTAGGTTCTTGTATGTCGAAATGTTTAGGCAAGTTTTGAACTCTTTCTTACTGCTTACCACTAAACAGCCGTCTTTAAAAATAAATATATATATATATATATATTTAAGATCTGAAGACAAGATCTTCTCTATGGTATTGAAAAATCCGTCTCTCCGGAACCCTACTAGACGTTTTTGCTTTCCCTATCATAAGATCCTTGTTATAGTATAATACATTCTGGGCATCTTTATAACCCTTTCACACCTTATATTTCAATGAATTGAGATCGCGTCCAGAAAAAAGTAAGCTCCGTCTTCCTGAGCGAACATTTATGTTTTCATGCTGCTCAAGAGCCTTATATTTCAGACCTTAGAAAAGTGGTAAGAGATGCATTTTGTTTAGATTTTAGAAAAACGATAAATTTGTCCCATAAGTTTGTAGGTAAAGCTCTTTCGGTCGGACATTCTTACCACCTCATCTTTCAACCAATCACATACATTTTTGTACCACGTCTGTGCTTTTTAGTGAAGCCTAGTACACTTTCGATCTTGTGAGGTTATGTTGACTACAGTTTCTGAGACATCTGTCGTCTCGAGAGTCTGGCATGTCCCATATTTCAAGATATTTTCGATCTGACGTTTCGACGTCGTAAAATCTCCTGATCACCTGACCCTCAGCAACGGATACTATATTCTGAGATCGCTGTGATTTGAAACACAAGTATGACTTAATTTTAGAATCATTTTCGATTCGATATTACAACGGTATTAATCTTCTGGAACCGCTGTGTTCTCATCTTCAAATGCAACTAGGATTTTTGACTTCATTATGTGATGTATTCTTCTAAGATGTCTAATGTAAAGATATTTTTGATTCGATGTTGCAACGGATTAAAATTCCGAGAGGCCTGTAATCTCAGGGTATGGTCTGACTCTATTTCTTGTGATCGTTTTGATTTAAAATTGAAGCATGACTAATTTTTAGAATCACTTTCGTTCCTATTTCATAACGGTATCTATTTTCTGGGACCGCAAACATCTCATCTTCAAACGCAAGTAGTATTTTTCTACTAAATTTTTGTTGAAAAAACTATAAGCGGAATTCACTTTCGTACAAAAATTTTAACGTTTCAAATCCGCAGTAATCCATAACTAAAACGTAAATGAGCATAATTATTTTGAAATATTTAAAAAAAATTCTTTTTTTAATTGTAGTGATTTTTTCAAAATTTTGCGTTTCAAAAATTTTAAAATATACAAATTACACAATTTACACCAAAAAATTCAAACAAATATGTTGTGTGCTTAAAAGTGAGTTGAAAAATTATAAATTCTAACGGTTCTTTAAGTAATTTCGTGTGAAAAAACTTCGCTTGGCATTATCGAAGTCTTGCTGTGGAGTACATGGAATTTTTAATGAATCAAAACGAAGTGCTTTATTAATTAATTAATTTTGAGTGGCTAGAGAGGTCACTCACAACCTCCACTGCATCAGTTAGCTTAAAAAGTGTCAAATTAGATGCTTGTAGTCAACACAGTGTGCTTTTGTTACGATCTTAAAGATGATGAACTTTAGAATGACTACTGGACTCCACTTCAACGTTGAATTCTGAACTCTTCGGTCCGCTGAAGGTCCCAGCTCTTTTTTTCAAATGATTGACATTGTTTTGCTTCGACAAAATTCTTGTTAAAGATACTGTCTAGTCTTCTAAATCAATGTTTCTTTTCTTGTCATCCGCTGTAGATCAGTTCCTAGTAAAATTTTATATGTTGTTCAATCAAGTTCTTATAAAAAGGGAGGATATTCAGCGACACTTTCTCGATTTGCCTTTTCCTAAAATCACAGGCAAGGCTACAATCTCCGAAGATATTTTGCAGATAGGACAACTATTACATATAGCTGCCTTACAAATTGATTGGTCAAAATCAAAAAAAAACAAAAGTTTTTATACCATTTTATGCTATAAAAAATGCACCCTGTGAAGGGTATTATATCCTCGAGGCGGCTAAAACGTTAACGTTTTTTACTTGGTTTTTACTAACGTCGGTCACGGGACATAAAACTTGTATAGTCATACCTATATGAGGCTTTGGCATTTTGCTATTTTTATCTCAAAATTCTTGTTTTTAATTTATTATATTTTATTTCCAAAGAATCTACATAATACGGCAACAGCAAGGCATAATGAAATCTAATAAACATATTTTTCGCTTTTTTCTCTCTCTTTTGCTCTCTTTCTCTCTCTCTTTCATGTACGTCGATGTACTTGCGCAAAACAGCTGATTCGAATAAGCAAACAAGCAAGCAGACAAAGGTGGCACTAGCAGCAGCAGCAACACCAACAGCAAACCAATTCCAGATACCAACCGACCTGTTATACCAACGACAAAAGAGTTCGTGACAAGCAGAAAGCAAGTGCTGAAATTGCATGTAAAAACGTAGACAACGAAGAAGACGCACTAAAAAGCAGTTGGAAATAGCGAGTAATAAAGAAAAGTGGAAAATTCTTAGTTGTGAATATTTATTGAAATTATAGAAAAGCAAGCGCTGCCAAAATAGCTGCACGCAGCGCAAGAAATCCGTTAAAAACGCGATAAAAGTAGTCGCGTCTTTGGCCAACAAAAACCGGAAGCAAAGCGCTAAAGCTCGACAGCCAAGCATTTAGGCCGTCAGCCAGAGCCAGAGGTAAAGCTAAAGCCAATTAATCCCTTTGCTAAGCGCCGCACCGCGCAGCGTCTACGTCAAATCAACTTCAGGCTTTTTTCGGTCGCGTTGTACCGCGTTCAGCAGTAGCGCTGGAATACTTTATTTCACCCCCCGGTCCAATAAACGTCGCCAAAATAATTCACCAACAAACTATCACCGACATCAACTTCGCAACGGCGACCACAATGCCATATAACGGCGCCAGCAATGGCAGCGGTGGTGGCGGCGGCGGAGGTGGTGGCGGTATAAGTGATGGACCGCAAAACAAGAAGATACGTACGGGCGTACAACAGCCGGGCGAAGCGGATGCACATCTGCATGCAAGGGTAAGTTTGTAAAAAATTATTTTCTATATGTAATTATGTAGATGTAAGTGCTAAAAGTGTGGCAAGAAAAGCAAAAAAAAAAAAACAAATAATAACGGTGTTTACTTACTAGCAGCTTCGAAGGAGTGTGAAAAGTTTTCAAAAACTATTTTTTTTTGTACATTTTTGTATAATCATTTCATCATTACGTGTGTTTTTGTTATTGTTGTCCACAAGTAGTTTGTATTGTTACTGTAAATAGTCGCAATTCGAGTCAAATGGTGTTTGTCAACGCGCAGCGCTTACAAAAAACAGCAAATAATTTGCAACAACAACAGTATATCGGCAACAACAACAGTATATCAGCAACAACAACAACAAACATTTACCGTTTTCCATTTTCGACATGCCAACGCCGGCGTTTTTGGCGTAGTGAAGTTGTTTTTCCTGTGCCACAACTGATAATGGCATGCATTGCCTGCTTTTAGGGGTTGTTAAAAATCGATTTTCAGCTGTTCGACAATTTCGTACATGCAGCGCGTAGACTAAACGCTGATAGCGTTGGCGTAATGATAAATAATTCTTAGATAATATTTTATTTGCGCGTCATAATAATAATTTAGTGATAAGAAAATGCGCCTAAATGTATGCTAGTTGTTGTTAACAGTTATTATTAACCTAAAACAAATATTGCTGCTGAATTTAGCTAAAATTTAGATAGGAGTACATGCATATATTTCGCTAGGCAGCAGTGTTATTTCGGCGATAAGCAACTGCGCCTAAATATATGCCAATACTGGACTAAATAAGTGTGTTTAAATATGTAATTTGACTTTGCTAAGCGTGAATAAGTGTATGTATCAAATTTGCTGTTTAGTAAATGCGCCCAAAAGCATATAAACTATATTTAAATTACCGTTATGCCTTATTTGTGCATTTACCTAATTTTTTGTTTAACACAATTTTCGTAATAAGCTGGCAACACTCTTAAGCATTACCAAATCACCAACTAATGGCCACACGCGACGCTATGCTTTGTGTTTTCTATATATGTAAGCCTAAACTCGCATACAAAGCTAGCGCGCCAACAAGTATGCAATGCTCTCACAACAAACATACGCCAAATTATGCTGAGCAACTTCGCATATGGCAAATTTCACAGCAGAACGCATACATATTTATGTACATATGTGTATTTGTGGCAATATACATACATATATAAATCTATGTATAGTATAGTCCACTTTTAGGCGCATAACCATACACAGCGCTTAACGTGGTGCAGCGCAAATGCCTCCGGTTCAACTTAAACGCGCCTAACGAGCATAATCTTTTTATACTTACTTTATCTTATGCATCAGCCATAGCATCTATGTAGGTATCTGTCGGTGCGGCCTCTTCATTCCTTCCCCAATGCTATGGTAGCACTCAAGTAGGTGCTTCTCTGTGCTCGTTAATGTCTTAGCAAATGCTCTTAATTTGACGTTTTGCCTCTTAACTGAGGAGTATATATATACATACATACATATATGTAGAAAACAGACTGTTGCATACTTTTAGCTGTCGCACCAGCAGAATACTTGCTTGCTGGGGGATGCTGCTGAGTATCGCAACATTTTACTCGTATACGATTTACACTCAAAATCCAATGCACACTCACTCACTCACCATAGCTCGGCGGCGCGCTCAGTGCCGTTAACTGTTCTGTGCGGCTGTCGTGTCGTGTCGTTGAAGAGCAATCGTTTAATTTTTGCTTCCTCTTCTTTTACAAACTTTTCATTTTTTTTGCTTGTATAGCATACCTTTAGGCGTACTCGTCGGCTGTTTGGTGCCGCGTATATCCATATCGTGTGCGCGCCTAACAGTATGCCAACTAATCTACACATGGGCGGTTGTTTAGACCCGCATCCTGATATGGATATGTCGCGATAAAGGCACGTACGCATGCATGTAGTTATGTGGGCAGTTTGTAGGCGTAGCGCGTGCTTTTTTGGCATTTCCACTACATATTTACACACAGCGGCTGTTATTCAACACTTCCGTGTGGCGCACTTGTAGGCGCTTATGGCCGTTTGTTATGCGTAGACACGCGTCAAAAGCGGCAACACTTGCGCTATAGAATTGCAAGACATTTTAAGACGCTTAAAGGCTGTCGGAGGGAGTTTGTTTGTGTGCATAACGGTATTTTTTATGCGCCCTTAAAGACGGTGGATTTTCTTTTCCGTTTTTTTTTAGCGCCCGCCAACGAAGTCACATTTTTTTGTTTATTATTTTCCGTTATCATATAGACGCTCGCTTACAAACAAACGGCTTGTGACTGTTTGCTGGCGATAAGCGTCGCCCGACTTGGCTATTATATGGCATTTAGCGGATATTAGACTGAAGAAGTAGTGCTTGATTTTGATATTTCACTTTGTCTTCCATGATATATGTACATACATATGTATATCTATCGTATGCTTTTTTTGTTAGTATAACATAAATTTTTATGACGCAAGGATATAAGTCCCTTCCCTCAGTTCTTTGCCGAGTAATTTCTTTCTTCTTTTGCTCTTTTCTAAGTCTGTCATTTGTTTCGCTTTTATTGCGTTTTTATTCGAATTTATGTGCTTTTTTGTTGTCCTCTAGGGTGTAATAACTTTGCTTTTTACGCGCCTAAGAATTCATTAAAGTCATCAATGGTTGATTCAAGACCCAAAGCAAAGCGTTGAAGTACCACAAAATTGATTCATTATCGGTACACATTTTTCCAAAGCTATTTGTAGTAAAAACAATTTTCTGAATTTTGTGTATTTTTTGCATGATTGATCTCGCACTGAAACACGAACTTCGAAAAAAAAGGTTTTAAGTGATTTTCGGTGATTAAATTTTTTAACTTTCAATTTTGATGTACAAAAATTCTGAGAGTTTTCGGTTAAAATGCCTATTTGTTTTATTTTTATGACTTAGAAACCGTAACGTAAAGTTTGAAAAATTTCGAACTTTTGAATACTGTATTTTTAGTATAAAACATTCACTTGCTAGCCAACTAGCATATATATGTATATGCATATAACTTTTTTGTAGTCTAATTGGTCATAATCATCTGAAATTTCATCATATTCTTTTAGTTCGAAACAAGTTTAATATACGGTTGTTGGTCAATTTAATGCTTTTTTTACTACTTGGTGTGATCGAACATGATCCAAAACAGCAAAAATAGTTTTTTTTTCGAAATCAAAGAAAAAAAATAATTTGCAAAAACCGCATTTTTAGTGTAAAACAAGTTCGAAATGCAATTTCTTCTACTTTTATGAGTTATAGACCTTTTCATGGAATTTTTCAATTTTCGAAAATTTCAAAAACGGCATTTTTAATGGAAAAATGCAAGAAATTCACTTGCTAGCCAATCAGCATATATATATGTATATAACTTGGTGTATTTTGTCTCAAAAATTAATTTTTAGTAATTCCCACAAAAAGTTAGAAATTTCGAAAATTTTCAAAAACAGCTATTTTTTTGGTTCCAACAATTTTAGTATGCGGTTTTTTGAAATAAAACAAATCTAATTTTCAACCTATTAAGTGCAAAACAAGTTCCAAATACGTTTTTAGCCAACGTTAGACGTTTCTATACATTTGTCGTGCTCTCAAAGTGCAGTTTATTGCTGAAATATTATATTTCGAAATTTCAAAAATTTAGAATATATAAAAACTGCATTTTCATTTCAACACATGCATGCAATTCAGGTTTTAGCTAAGATATAACTAATTGTTATGGTCTGACGGGTGTTTGGCTGTTAAAATATGTATATTTTTTTATGAAATTTCGAAAATATTGGAAAATTTCTAAAACTGCATTTTTAGTTCAAAACTGGTAAAATGCTTTTGTAAATAAATGTTATAGCCTCAGAGCATTATACAGATGAAATATTTTTTTGTTTGGAATTTTCGAAAAATTTTGGAATATTTAAAAACTGTATTTTTAGTTGAAAACATTATTAAAATTCGGTTCTTATCGGACGTTATGCTTTTATTGTTGTAATCGCAGGATATTAGACTGATGAAATAATTTTTTTTTTTTTTTGAAAAATTTTCAAATTTTCAAAAACTAAATTTTTAGTTAAAAACTTATTAAAAATGTGTGTTTTGGCCAATTATATACTCTTATAACTAACTGTTGTAGTCGCATGGGTCATAGAAAGCTAAAATGTTTGTTTTTGGAATTTAAAAAAACTATAAATTATAAAAGTTAATAAAAATTAATAAAAAAGTTAAAGAAATATTTAAGCTTAATTTTTTCATGCTATTTTTTTATTAAAAAAAAATTGATCTCTGCGGAAAAAGATATTGTTATGTAAGAAGTTAGAAACAATTTAAAATTGAATTCATTAAAAATTAAAAATATATATATAAATAAATATTTATATCTAAATTTACAACTGAGAAAAATATTAACATATTATAATATTTTACCAAATTTTTTTGAATTAATTAATTAAAGCCATAAAATTTAATAATGCACAATAAATTTCGGAAAATCCGCAAAAAAATCAAAGAAAATCGAATTCTGTTCCAGAAATCGCCATTAGCGAATTTCTTTTGTATTTTTTTTTAAGCCATTAGACGCAAGAATCTGAAACTGCATATTAAGCAAATGGGCAGACAGACATACATTATTTTGCTTTGGGCGCCACGAAGCGCATTCTGTACAGTTGGCCACACCGCCGCAATGCCGCGCGACGCCAGCAGCCGTCGCCTTAACTTCGCTTGGCTAGTGAAAATTCGCTAGAAAAAGTGGTTGCAGGCAAGCCAATAAATGGCTTGGTACAAATATAAAAACATATGTGTATACAAATATTTGTATATGTGTTTGCATATGTGTGTGCTTGCGCTTTCAAATTCATTTTCAAGTTATCTGCTTGATGCATTTGCCCATCTGCTTGTCAGTTGATGCCACATATCGACGCTTGCCTCCCCCATTGCGGGCATAACATTTTACTTTTTGTTGGCGAATGCAAATCGCCGCTGCAGGCAACCAT